CCTGTGAGTCATCAGACAGGCGCAGCAGGGACAGCTTAGTTAGGAACTGTGGGGTTTTGGGGAACTGCAGACCTGTTCTGTTGGCTCCAGTAGTGAGGCTGCTGGTTTCCACGGCCATTGTGGTTGTGAGGCTGTGTGTTTCCAAGGCAACCGAGGTGCTAGAAGGAGGGGAAGGGATCAGAGCAAGTGAAAACATGGCAAAGTTGGCTATTCTTGCCAAGATTCAGGCATTGTGGAACAACTGCTCCTTGGATTTTTGCAAACCTTTATTTGATTTTCAGAAATCTTGAAAAAGTTGATTCTGAGAATTTTTGGCAGTGTTTTTCTTGGATTTACGGGTGAGCYGATTTTAGAGTTCTTTAGTTTCTTTAGCCTGCCATTTCAGAAATGCTTCCATTTATCACCTGGGAATCAACCCCTGGGGTGCTGTACCACTGAGCTATATTCCCAGACCTTTAAAAAAAAAAATGCTAAATGGCCGAAGCTGGCCTTGAACTTGTGATCCTCCTGCCTCAGCCTCCTATGTTGCTGTAATTACAGGTATGAGCCATTGTGCCCAACTAACTTTATTATGGACCCTTTCCAAGCCTGACAAAAAACAGTTAATAATGTTATGATCAACCCATGTGCCCTTATCCAGTTCCAATATGACCTATACTAGCCAATCTCTTTAGCTGTCTACTTGCTTCTTACTGTTTTCTTTAGGATATTTTAAAGAAAATCCCAAATGTTATATTTTATCCATGTTTTTATTATTTTTATTATGTTTTGAGATGGAGTTGCCCAGGCTGGTCTTAAACTCCTGGGCTCAAGTGATCACCTGTGTCAGCTTGTAGCTGAAGACCTACAGGTCCCACCACCATGCCTGGTTTCCATGTTTTATTCATGATGTGCAGTATAAACAACATTCATGTGAATGATGAGGTTTCACTGAAACTTTAAAGGAGAATGTGGAACTAAATGCTAAGCCAGGGCTCAGGTGCTTGGGAACTGTTGTCCCTGTGCCACCACATGCCTTGGGACACCTCATTTCTTTCACCAGTTTTCCCAGCTAACTCTTTAGGTTGAATAGCTCACTGCAATATTCTTAGGCCTTCATATTGATAAGAATGTGTTATTTATTTACTTTCTCTTTTCTTCTTCTTGATCCTTAGTTCTTTTTGCTAATGATATATAATCTTAAATATAAATTTAGGTTATTGAAATATTTGTATTAATTTATTTTTAATCATCAGAACCTAAACTAAAATTTATTAATTAAAACATTTTTAAAATTAATTAAGTTAAAAAGTCTTACAAGTTCTCAGACCCTGTAAGATTGGCCTAGATGAACACATTCAAATAATTCCTAGTTGTTTATGGAAGTGTGTGCTGGTGGATATTAACTAGCACAACCTTTTACTAGGGCCATTTTGTGATATCTGTCAAAAATAAAAAGTTTTGACCTAGGTATTCTTCAAGGAATGTATCCTGCAGATAGCATTGTGCAGTTCTAAAACTGGTAAAATATGCGAGTGTGCTCTTTGAAGAGCACTTCTGCAAATAACCTAATATGCCCTGAGTATCTCTTTAATGGAAAGATGTCTAAGATATACACCTTAATGAAAAAAGTGTGGTCATGGAGCAGTAAGGTACACTATTCATGGGAAAAGTTGTACCACGGTTTTTATATCAAGACCCAGTTTGTGTGTGAAAGTTAGATTGCATGCATCAYTTTGGAATTGTGTTTGGTGACTGATAACAGACTAGAAATAAAGTAACTTATATTCAGTTTTTAATGATGCTTGGGGAGGCAGGCTAGGGCTGGTGTCCCAGGAACCCAGGCTTCTGTCTTTCCTTTCTACCATCCTGAGTAATGATTTCCATCCTCAAGATATCCCCTGGGCTTTTATCAGTTATGAAGAATAAGGAGGGATAAAAGGCCAAGTAGTACCTCTTCCAGATGATAAGTCCTCTCCAACAGCCTTCCTAGAGATGCAGTATGGCCCTTCAAGTTGCATCTTAGTGACCAGTACTTAGTCATATGACCATGCCCAGCTGCACACAAAGTAGAGAACTGTGGTATTTTATTCTGGGTAGCAATCAGGGGAACTTCTTGTCCATGAGGAAAGGGACACTGGGTGTCGGGGATAAGCACAGCAGCGTCACTATGTAACCATGCCTGTGGGGGATGGCACAGATAGCTGGAAGGATGCATAAGAGCTGTAGGCTGGTGCCCCCTTGTATTCTGGCTTATGGTTTTAGAGTTTTCAGACCATGGTCATCTGCCTCCATTGCTTTTAGGCCTGTGGCAGGGCGGAAACATGGCAGGAGGGAGTGGAGGAGAAAAGCTGCTCACTTCATGACAGCCAGGAAACAAATAGAGAGAAAGGGGCTGGAGGCAAGATATAGTCTCCCTTCAGCTACGTCCACTTCCTTTGGTTTCCACCACCTCCCAGGAGTCCATCACTAGATTAATCCACTGATGAGGTGAGCGCTCTCATGCCCACTCACTCCCCTAAAGGTCTACCTCTGAACATGGCTGCTTTAGGGACCAATCTTTCAACRCAAGAGCATTTGGGGGAACATTCCAAATCTAACCATGATGTTTATTAAGAAAAGCATCAAGGCTTACAACTTAGAGTCAGTAGTTTGTCATAGTGTAGTTGCTAATGTTTTTCTTGGTAACTGTGAAATAATACAATAACTTTTTAAGAATGCTTTCAGGAGTGAGTCTGAATTGTCCTGGTTTAGGAATAATTCTCCCAGAAGGTAAGGGGCTGGATGCATTTTGAGTTGTTTTTTTTTGTTGTTGTTGATTGTATTATGTTTGTGATTTTTGCATTTAAGAAGTAAAACTGGCTTTGAGATATACATTCTCAATTCTCAGACTTCCCAGAAGTCATTATTAAGAACTTTTAACTCATGTTGAGCCTGATTGTCACTGAGAAATTTTTTAAGCAGTAGAATTGGAAGTAGTGAAAATAAATACTAAGTATAATATGTATATTTCATTAGTATTTGCATGTTTATATATTCTTAAGGATTTATATATGTGTAGGATGATGTACAATAATCATCTGATATGACTAAATTTTATTAATTTAATGAGGGCTTTTAGAATTTATATATAACAATATTGTTATGAAGTCTTTTCTCACTCAGGTAATATGTTTTTACATTTTTTTTCCCTGGCGGGGGCCATGGACCTTAAACCCAGGAGCACTTTACCACTAAGCTACATCTCCAGTCATTTCATTTATTTTTAAAGTTTTGAGGCAGGGTCTTCCTAAGTTGCTCAGACTGGCCTTGAACTTGAAATCCTTCTTCGTCAGCCTCTGGAGTCACTAGGATTACAGGCATGTGCCAACTGGCTATTGTTTTTATATTATTAATGGATTTATCATTTCATGTCACCTCATACACAATATAAGCTATGAGGGCTGGGGATGTGGCTCAAGCGGTGGCGCGCTCGCCTGGCATGTGTGCGGCCCGGGTTCGATCCTCAGCACCACATACCAACAAAGATGTTGTGTCTGCCGATAACTAAAGAATAAATATTTAAAAAACAAAACAAAACAAAACAAAAAAAACAATATAAGGTATAAACATGTTTTTCAGGGTGCTGTTTTTGAAATGCAGTTTCATGCTTCTCTACATCGTTTCTTTAAAACAATCTAGTGGTTGTTTGAAATATTTATACTGTCCCAGTGAATTATAAATAACTGTGTTTTTCAGCTTGATCCTCATGTAGAGTTTATGGGACATACACTAAGGTAGGGTACTCAGTTGTTATATTACAGATAAGATGGTATGTTCCTGACTCTGTAGGAACTTAAAATTGTTAGTAAACAGCAGACTTGTCTAGAATAAATAAAGCCAAAGTCACCTCTCTGCCTGGGGAACCCAAATTCCAGTAAGTTTAATGGTMACTTTTGTGTGATTATGTCCACATAAGGGTGTGCCACCCTGTGTCTCTCCTGATAGATATACAGTATGTCCTTTAATTTTTGGTCATACACTTTTTTTTTTGAGCTGGGAAAACAACAACACATAGAGATTTTTATGGCTGTAATTATCCTTTTTTGAGGCATAGGCCCTTTTGAGAATCTGATGAAAGATGTGGACTCTACGTTGCAAAATAAAGGAGTGTATATGCAAAAAATCATATATATGTGTATATGTATATATGTGTGTGTATGTATATGTGTGAGTATATGTGTATATATATGTGTGTGTGTGTGTGTGTGTGTGTGTGTGTGTGTGTGTGTGTGTGTATAATATATATAATTTATGGGGTTCCTGGACCATTTAAAGCCATCCACAGGGAAGTTATGATCCAAGTAAACTACTCATTTTATGGATGGTAAACAGAGGGCTGGAGAGATTTCCTGTTTTCCTCAGGTGGTAGACCAGCCTCTTAATCTATTGCTTATTTACCAAGATTCTAGAAGTGAGTTGAAATCTCCGAAATACAGAGATTCATCATTCTCCTCTACCMCAAAATATGTATATTCTCCCCAAAGGCCATACCTAATGAGAAGTATTGAGAGATTGGAAAATAGAGTCAATGAAGATTCCCTCAAGTCTTGGTGTAAATTAATCTTATGACTCAAGCATCCTCGTATGCCAAAAATATGAGTAGGAAACTGTGCATGRTGGGATGGATCTCACCCTGGCTGGTTTGGAGGCTGCAGGCTGCTGGCACTGTGGCCTTATTTAACAACAGTCTCCATCTCCCTTGCTTGCTCCTCCTGAGTGTCGCAGCCCCATGGCCCACCCTAAGCCCACGCCATCTAATATCTGTGGAATATTTATTTCTAGTAGCTATTACAGTCCAGGTGTGCAGGATAAAGTAACCCATCCAGTGAGAGCATGCATTGCAAAAATAGGAATTTTCAGGTACGGTCTGTATTTTGTGTTTTTAGTGGAACCGGAGGGGTCTGACATGTTTCCCTTGTCACTTGTTTTGAGCAGCTATCATCTGGCACAATTAACTTTTTCCTCCTCTTCCTTGGCAGCGTCTCCTGGGCAGTCAACAGCAGTCTTCTGTCCAGCTCTGGGTCTCCTTTGGTCGGAAGCCCATGCGAGCAGCCCAGTTTGTCACAAGACACCCTATTAATGTGAGTGAGGTCTGCCGGAGGGTGGGAAGAAGGCTTACTGCCTCCCTATAGACGCTCTGGGGAGGATGTCCTGTGGATGTCCTGCTGGGTGGGTATTTTATGGAGGCTCCCTGAAGTCACTTTCCAGAGTGGTCTCTAGAGAGAGCCATTGTGCTTTGGGCATATTGGTCTCTTGTTTCCCACTTCACTGTTTGAAGTGGAACTGAACAGGAGCCTTAATTTGCTTGAAGTGGAGTAGGATTGGCAGAGGGGTAGGAGTCAGAGTCAATGGCCTTGTGTGCTAGTACTGAAGCAGGGGGAAGTTTGGGCACAGCCTTTATTTATTAAGTACCTGCTGTATTGCCTACAGATGGCTCCGTTCCCAAAGGGATAGATTTGGGTCCTATTTGGTAGAAACGTAGAGGTTGGAGAGACCAAGAATAGAGCAGATGAGTAAACCATATATTATAGTCGTAGTGCTCGACCATGCCGTATTATAACAGTGATTGATAGGAAAGCCCAGCACACCGTGTCGGGGGCTGTTGGGCTAGTGACTGCAGGGAGGAGGTGGTGACATTGGGAGGCCTTGGCATTAGCATTTCATTTTGAGAAAGGTTAGTGGTTCGGGGGTTACGTAATGGAGAACAGTCTCATCAGCACCTTGCTAGTTTCTGTGGGCTCTGCCTTCCTTTGTCCCCTCAGGGAATATAAAAGGAAATGAAATGCACATTAATCTACAGTGTACCTTATACTAATGAAAGGTCTCTTGGGATAAAGAGGGAGACCTTATTACCTGAAAAGAGGTTTCTAGGTCACTTATGGAGTTCAGAGGCCCGCTCTTTCTCTGTGCTCCATTTATTTGCCAACAAGGGGCCTGCTCCAGCTGCAGACCAGCCTCAGGTTCTCCAGAGGAAAGTTGTTGGAGCTTGTTTGCCAAGATCGGGGAGCTTTCTCTGGGCTCTAGGCCCACATTCGTCACTGGGACTTTTGGAAGTCATTGCTTTCATGTGTACAGAAGGCCCACAGGGCGTAATCATTTTTCTGACTTGTGTATTTCTTGACTTTTGATTCCTAAGGAATATTACATCGCAGATGCCTCGGAGGACCAGGTGTTCGTGTGTGTCAGTCACAGTAACAACCGCACTAATTTATACATCTCGGAGGCAGAGGGGCTGAAATTCTCCCTGTCCTTGGAGAATGTGCTGTATTACAGCCCAGGAGGGGCCGGCAGTGACACCTTGGTGAGGTAAGGAGACCACAGCTGCTCCCCTGCCTTCTTAGACAAGTGCAGCTGCCAACTTCTCTCTAGTTGAGTACTTTTCAGTGTTAGCTGCTCGCACAGACTCACCTGGGGCATTTCCAGAGACCCCGATGCGTGGCTCACATGCCCAGAGATTACCATTGATGGGGTCTGGGTGTGGTTTGGTTTAAAGATTTTTAAAAAGCGCCCCCGGTGATTCTTATGTGCAGCCATGGCTGAAAGTTGCTGTTCTGTGTGACACTGAGGGGCACAGCTACTTTGTTAATTAACCATTCCCTTGGGCTCCCTTCATTCAGTTATCTGGTTTTGTGGTCTCTGAGCCAATGGGAAAGAGCACTTAGAAAATAGCATCAAGTCAGAGAGAGCTGGCATATGTGGCTGTGTGGCCTTGCCTCTAGGTGACTCAGGTTCATTGACATCATTACTCTCTTTCTTAAAGGTAATTGCAGGGTGGTATTTTGTAGGAAAGGCACCAACGTCATTGATCCTCTGTCCATAAATCACATGTATGGAAATGATTTGCAGTCCTATCTGGGTCTTCCTGTCAACTACACTCACCAAGGAATCAGGGGACGGAGTAGACTTGGCAGGGATGTGTAGATTTTCTTCTTATTCTTCTTTTTTTTTTTTTTTTTTTTTTTTGCCGTGCTGGGAATGGAACCCAGGGCTTGCTCTGCTAGGCAAATACTCTACCCCTGAATTATACCCCACCTTCAGTAGATTGTTAAGTTCCTTTCTGTGCCATAAATCCATTTGTCATGTGAAAACCTTTATAGTTGTGATAGGCTTGTTCTCTGTTCTTAGAAAAAGCCATCTGTGAAGCTCACTGACTGGTCTGGGGTGACATCCACCAGGCCAGAGGACATGACTGTGCTGCCCGCTCCCTCTCCTTGTGCTGGCCAGTCTTTTTTGTTACCAGTTCGTGCCATAGCACGCTGCGGCTGTGTACCAGATGGTGTTCTAGGTATGGCAGTGAAGTGTTGTGGATGATAGTAAAAAAATCAACCAGGTCCTTGTTCCACGGAGCTTATATTCTGTTTGCAAGGGACGCAGGGTATGAACAAATGTGTTATCTGTTTGGTAATGTGCTGGGAAGAAAAATAAAGCAAGATAAGGGGCAGGGAATGAGGAGGGCATTATTTTATACAGCCTGCTCTGGGATGATGAATTTGAGCAGGTGTTTGAGTTATGGAGGGAGGAAGTCAGCTAGGCAGACCCTAGGGGCGGGGGTGGGGGGAAGAGTCCTACAGGCAGGGGCCAGCAAGTGCAGTGATCCAGAGGTGAGGCTGCAGGGCTGTTCCTTAAGAGATGGGGAAGGTCAGGATGCTTCGAACAGCTAAAGAAGGGGACAGAGAGATAAGGCACAGGATTCAGGGAGCAGGGGCTCAGATGGTGCAGGACTTCAAGGGCATAGAAAATACTGTTTTTCTGATAGGTGGGATGGATAGCATCAGATTTATCTTATTAATTTTTTTTCTATTTTAAATATTTGAGAACTGTGTTCTATAAAGAAAAATGCAAAAGACAAATGAATGCATTATAAATAATTTTGAGCAAATACCCACATGCTTTGTTTTACAAAAATTATGCTTAGTGCTGTGTGGAAATTTGACTACTATGGGGACCAGGGCAGGAATAGGAAGACTGATTGTGAAAAGTTGTCCCAGTTCAGGCCAATGGGGATTGATGTTGGCTGGTCCCAGGGCGGTCTCAGTGGAGAGTACAGAAAAGGTTTGATTCTAAATATATTTTGAAAATAGACCCACAGATCTGCTGATGGATTGGAAGAGGTCTGGGAGAAGGAGTAGTAGCCAGGGGACCTCTGCTGCTTGGCCTGAGCAGGGATAGGGCAGTGATGACAAGGTGAGGCATGGAGGCCGGTGAGGAGCAGCTGTGGAAGAGATGTCCTGAGTTCCGCTTTGTACCTTGGTTGGAGGTGCTTATTAGATACCCAGCGTTGGTCTTTCTACCCAGTCTCCAGCAGTGCTTTTCCACTTCCTGTTTCTCTTTTGGAGCTACTGTTATCTTTCATTCATTCCATTTCTCCCCCTGATATAGACTCCTAGGTTATTATTTGTTATTTAATGCGTTATAAGCCATTCCTGCCCTGAATCATCCTGACATTCAGATTGTCTTGGTTTGGTTGGTGGCGGTTTCCAGTTTCTTCTGCCTGGCTTCTGTGTATTTTTATTTTTTAAAATAAAATGAAATTCACGTAACATAAACCGAACCATTTTAAAGTGTGAACAATTCAGTGGCATTTAGTACATTTACAGTGTTGTTCAACTGCTATCTCTAATTCTAAAACCTTTTCATTTCTTTAAAAGAAAACCCTCATTAAGTACTTTCTCCCCTTCTTCCAGCCCCTAGCAACCATCATTTAAATTTCTGTCTCTGTAGATTTACCTTTTCTGAATATTTCATAACAGCGGAATCATACAACCACCCGAGACCCTCTGTGGCTGGCTTCTTTCACTTAGCATAACGTTTCCAAGGTCCATTCACATGTAGCATATATTAGTACCTCGTTAATTTTCATGGGTGATTCATATTCTCTTTACATTTTTGTATAATTAAAAATCATAAAGCACTATCCCTTGGGCTTATTTTACCGACTCTTTAGTTTCTTCCCTACCTTCAGGAGCCTCGGACTGTGCGTGAGGTATATCACAGCTTGCCAATGGTTTCTTCATCCTCCTCATTGGTCAGATATTCAGGTGATATTTCATGGTAGGGCAGAGTTGAAGCCAGAAGCTGAAGAGAGAGGCTCCCCAGGAAACAATGACCCCATTTCTGTGGCCATAGGACTTCTTTACACATGCAGATGGCCCTTTGCTTGTGGCAAAGTTTCTTCTTACCCTGCCTGAGCCGGCGGTTAAGAAATTGATGATAGATTCATGTCAGGAATCATGGACCAATATCTTGCTCTGCTTGCTTACTCTTCTCTTACTTTATCTCAGGGCCACAGGGGTTCAGATTTGCTTAGTCAGCTGTACCTCAGTCTCTGCCAGATGAAATGGAAAGGATGAATTGGCAGATGGCGTGGGCAGGCTGGTTTAGAATAAACTTCCGCGGTATTCAAAATGAACCAGGGGAACTGGTTCTAATTTCCTTCGAGAACTAAGGAAAGAACTCTGAATAGGGGATGACCCTGGCATTTGTAGGATGTGCTGTGTAGGAATTTCGTGGAAAGCCACAGCTAGATACAGGACTCTTTGGAGGAACTTATGTGCTGATCACATGTCAGGCCTGTTGGGGCGCCTTAAGGAGGTGCACTGGCTCTCTTGGGTGGGAATGGCTACCAGTGTGTGCATTTGGCACTGAGCATGGTGGAAGGGGACTTGGTGAGCTGCTTGACAAGTCTTGGCCCAGGTCACTCTGGAAGGAAGAGCAGAAGTGCTCTGGTGAGGACAGTGAGGATAAGATGGAAGAAAATGGACTGTCCGAGAGAGTACTGGGCGTGAGGCAGCTTGTACCAGGGAAGGTCAAGGGAGCCAATGCCAGGATGGGCTGCACTGACGCAGAGAGGTTGTGAGGCTCAGGACCTTTGCTTGGAAAAAAAAAAAAAAAAAGACTCCAGGATTATGATGGGGGAAGAAGCAGGCTTATCTGACGAAAAAAACTCAGACCTCCCAGATGTGGGAATGAAGCCAGTAAATCTCAGAATGGTGGGTTCCATGATGATAGACTCAGAAGCAGGAGAGCTGAGGTAAATAGAGAGCAGGGGGACACAGGCCTTCAGCCACTTCCAAGGAAGTAGCCAGAAGGGGCTTAAGGAGTCCCGTGTCAGAGAATTTGGTCTCAACTCTGGCATTTTACTTAGGGTTGTGCTCCGTCTGCTGCTTCAAAATGACTTTGTTGCACTGCTTATTTCTGGTTTCCTTCCTCAGAGGTTGGAGGGCACATCTCCCTGTCTGAGGTGACAGCGCAGTCTTGCAGTTGAGGAGATTTGTGTGGCAGATGATGGGGAGAAAACACTTCTCTGTGTTTTCATGTCGCCCAGTGGCTCAAAACCCCTGAAATAAAGTGCATGGTTCCAATTTTAAAGGCCAGTGTGAGTCGTGGTTACCACTTCTCAGAGACCTCTTATATTTGCAGGGTGTACCATTGCAAAACCCCTTTCCAGGAAAATCACAGTGTCCTAGCATAGCAATTGAAGGCCTGAGGGTCTTATTGTATGCTTCCCTGTTAACCAGTACAACCTCAGACTTTCTAGAACCTTCCTTGCTAATATGCTGTGATGTTTTGGGAAGTAGTTGTCATGCTGCTGGGCTTCCTGACAGAAAAGCATTGTGGTCATCTATCATCAGGGTACTGGACACCCTAATAAGTACCTGGACAGTGGCTATGTAACCCTTAGCTGTATTTCTACAGATTGGGTTAAATGGTAAGCTGGGCATTGTAACTGGTGTCTTTTTCAAGTCTGACTTAATGTTTCCTATTTGTCAAGCCTCACTGGTGGATTTGGGTCAGTTTCAATAGTGAAGAAATAGATGTGCTTTTTACACCAACTTTAATGGTATCTTCATCATTGTAAAGCCTTGGTTAGGAATTGTTGATCAGATAAGCAGCTTGGCTCTTAGAGTTAAAAAAAAATTCACTGTTTAAAAAAGAGTAGACTATATAGCCATTAAAAAAAAAATAGAGTATGGTACATGTTACATGAGTGAACCTTGAAACATTATGCTAGGTGAAAATAACCAGATATGAAGTATCATAAATAATGTAATTCCATTTATATGAAATACCCAGATTTGGCAAATCCATGGAGACAGAAAGCAGATCAGTGGTTGCCAAGGCCTCGGAAGGAAAGGGGAAATGGACAGTGGCTGCCAATAATGAAAATGTCCTAGAACTAGGTGGCGATGGTGGGTATACAACGTGGTGAAGGTGTTTAATGCTGCTGATTTGTATATATTGAAATGTTTGGTTAAATCGTATGTTGTGTACAATAAGCAAAATACCAAGCAAATATCTGTTCAGGTTCACCATTGTTTATTTTGTCTTACTGCAGGTATTTTGCAAACGAGCCATTTGCTGACTTTCATCGCGTGGAAGGGTTACAAGGAGTGTACATTGCTACTCTGATTAATGGTTCTATGAACGAGGAGAACATGAGATCAGTCATCACCTTTGACAAAGGAGGAACCTGGGAATTTCTTCAGGCTCCAGCCTTCACAGAATATGGAGAGAAAATCAATTGTGAGGTATAGATGTTTTAATCTTGTTTGAATTTTTAATACAAGGATAGAGCTCTGATCTGTAGTTGTTTCCTACATCTAATATTTATTGGAAACATGAAAGATCACATAGTCTTCCATTGATACCATGTGAAGCAAACTTTTATCTGTATTTCCATCTTTGCTGGTCCCAGATTCTGCACCATATGGTATGCCATAGTGAACTCACAAGGCGCGGGGTGGTGGATATTTAAAAATAAGTGATTTTTTATTTTATAATAATAATAATTTTTTTTTTTTTTGGTGCTGAGGGTTCAACCTAGGGCCTTGCACCTGCTAAACTATACTCCCAGTCCAGTATTTTAAAGTTTTGAGGGAAAACATTGTGATTCTCAACATCTGTTAGACATATGAATTACTTGAGCAACTAGCTTGAGTTAGTTCACAGTTTCAGCATTAGGTTATGTTTTATTTCTTTTGGTGACATCATATCTTTGGGAATAAAAAAAATCAGGTGAGAAAGTCAGGGTAGAACAGGACACAAGGGTAGTTAATGCCCCAAATGATTCTAACATTTGAGCAGTTGTGCCATGTCCAATAGGTATACTCATTCCGTTAATAGGTAATCGTGGTTATTTAAAAATGAAATACAAACATGGTGTGTTCTTCCAGTTTACATGTGCTATTGTTTCATAAGTTTTTTGGACTTAACTATGTAAAAAACAAGTTGGCATTTCTTTTGMTATTAAAAAATTCCTGATCCGGGTGCGGAGGCACACACCTGTAATCCCAGCTGCTCTGGAGGCTGAGGCAGGAAGATCATGAGGTCAAAGCCAGCCTCAGCAACTTAGCAAGGCGCTAAGCAACTCAGTGAGACCCTGTCTCTAAGTAAAATACAAAATAGGGCTGGGGATGCGGCTCAGTGGTTGAGTGCCCCTGAGCTCAATCCCTGATACCCTGCCCTGCCTCCCCCCACCAAATTCCTGAAACACCAGTTGTCCTTCAAGATTCTTTGGGGACCTCTTGTGTAAAGTTATTATTTCTATGAAAGGAGTTTTACAATTTCTCTCTGAGTATAATTCAGAGATTATTCAGTATTTCCTGCCTGTAGGCCTGTCTGAAAACTTAAGAATGCCAAAATATATCATTTGGTTCCATTAAGTGTAGACTGTGCCCCTGGCTTTAAGTGACCCCCTAATACCTCTGTTCCCATTTCACCTAGATCCCTTAGAAAATGGAAATGGATCTTGGGTGTGGGCAGAAAGAACTCAGAAAAAAATAAAAGTTCTCATTTTTGGAGAAACTATAACATTTTAATTCAATTCAGTTGGATTTTTTGATTTTGTTAGTCCTTGGTGAACTATGTTGAGTCTTCTCTAGTCTGTCCGTGACCCTTGAGAAAATGCTTTTGGAGACTCTGGCCTTAGAATGTACTTCTTGATTTTTCTTCCCTTTTTGGCAACAGGTTTCCATTTATTACATCAAATCTAATTTTAGCAAGAGGCAAGCTATAAATGGATATACACACATTACTAGGAACTGAACCTACCTTAGTAGTGTCTTACAACCTCACTAGCTCGTCACAGTGCTGCTGTGGATGGGGCTGGGATAATTTTGAGCATGCCATGCATGCCAGGGTGTCAGAACTTGGTGTTTTAAAAATTCATCTTTTTAATTCTTTGACTGATCAATTTATGAACTATAGGACAATTAATCATCTTTTAGTTTCTACTTCTGAGTTTAAGTGAGGTATTAGATTTCTGTCATTGTGACAGAATGCCTGAGAAAATCAGTGTATAAAGCAGAAAGATTTTATTTTGGCTCATGGTTTCAGCTCATGATCACTTGGTACCTACTCTTTGCCTTGTGCTGAGGCTGAACATCATGGTGGGAGCATGTGGTGGAATAAGCTGCTGATATTATGGGGACCAGGAAACAGAGAACAAAAATGAGAGAAAGCAAGAGGCTAGAGTCCCCAAATGCCTTTCAATGGCACACCTCCAGTGTGTAACTTTCTTCCACTAGGTTCTACCTCCCAAAGGTTGTGCCTCCCTTCTAGTAGCAGCACAGGCTTGTGCCCAAGCTTCTAGCACATGGCCTTTGGTGGACATTTTAGATCCAAAGCATAACAGGTGGTGAAAAGAACATACGGGAATGGTTAAAGTCTGATTGTCCAAAGATACAGAAACACGTTCAAGCGTAGACTTCATCGTAGGCAAAACAATGTAAGCCAAAAAAGGTGGGGAGAGTAAATATATCTTTGAGACCCAACCTAATTTGGTCCAGTTTCCATTGGCCAAACTGGGAAGCTAGTAAGATGGATATTTGTTCTCTCTTTTTGTGACAAAAGTAAATGGATCCAGCAAATCTTGCCACACTTATTATTTGTGCTGTAAACACCTGCAGAGTTCTCCTGTTCAGAACACTGGACACATCTCAGTAACCCTGAGTATCCACTTTCTGGCCAGGAGAATGAGGCACGGCCATATAGCAGAAGCCTTATCCTGGTGGTTTACAAAAGAACTATGAAAATGTGGGCACAAGCAATGGAGGCCAGCTTTAATCACTTGAAGCCTTGCCCTGTACAGCCACATCTTTGTAAAATGTAGAACACCCTTTACCAATGTAATGTGGATCTTTGACGTTCAGATATCGTATTTTGTACTTCCGGGAGCTTATCTGTGGGACTTGATGACTTGTGATTCTTGTTTTTTCTTCTGACAGAATTACTGGAATCATATTTGAAACTCCTCTCCCCTGACTTAGAAAATAAATACCACAACATCATTTCACTTCTCTTTAACTCTGAGTCACTTGAGAGGATCTCTGGGTGATACAGGGAGATGGGTATCTTTCCTGTCAACCTCAGTTAATGTTGATTTATAAATGTTATTCCCTGAGAGTCTTAGGGAGTTCTTAAATTATTTTTTTCAACCAGGAACATTTATGTGGATGCAGATGACCCCCTCTGTCTGGGTGGCGGTGTGTGTGAGAACATAGCTGGGCTGTGAGTTTGGTGTCCTCAGGGCCAGGCCTCCTTGTTCTGTGTCAAGCCCTGAGGTCCCCACCCAGGCCTCTGAGTTTGCAGGAGATCTAGGCAACATATCACACACTGACACCACCTGCAACTTTATTTTGCAGCTTTCTCAGGGCTGTTCCCTCCACCTGGCCCAACGCCTCAGTCAGCTGCTCAACCTCCAGCTCCGGAGAATGCCCATCTTGTCCAAGGAATCAGCCCCTGGCCTCATCATTGCCACGGGTAATGTTTTGTCTGTCTTGCCTGTTCTCACRGGGGCTTCTTTCGGCTGGTGCAGCCCCATATAGAGTGGTCACCCACATCTCCAGCAGTGCCCACTCTGGGTAGTTTTAAGACATTCTTTGTTGCTAGATAGTTCTTTGAAATTCCCATTGGGCAAGGTGATTCTCTGATATATCCTTGAAATGAAAAATAACTCTTCCTCTTACTTTTTAGGCTCAGTGGGAAAGAATTTGGCCAGCAAGACCAACGTGTACATCTCTAGCAGTGCCGGGGCCCGGTGGCGAGAGGTCAGTGCCCACCCTGCCTGGTTGGTGTGTGTGTGTGTGAGGATGTGGACTGCACCTTGGTGTTTCAGGGACAAGCATGGTTCCCAGTGGTCACCTGAGATGCCCAATACAACTGTAAAGTAAAGAGAGGGACCCAAAGCCACACATGAGAACCGGCTGCCCTGATTTTTATTCACCCCTTGTTATGTAGACTCACAATTTCCCCAGAGGTTACTTTAAGTGAAAAAGGAAGCTTTCACTTTTTGTTAAAAACAACTGTGAATTTGACCAAAATTTCCAAGATTATATAATCCATGAGGGCAAAGACAGTGTCTGCTGTGCTCACTTCTTGACCACCAGGCCATAACCATGCCTGGCATGAGCGAGTGCTCAGTCAATATTTGCCGAGGGTATCAGCAAATGACAGTGTAGCTGTGATGGTGGTATTTTTCTGTGTAATATTGGAGCGGAAGTCTTGCCTGTGGACATTTCCATCTCATTCTGTGCTGGGGAAGGAGACCATTTCTGTGTTAAGGTGCCGTAACTTGCTTGTATCTTCAGCACTTATTATTGCCAGCTCTGAAGGTGCAGCTGGTTCTCCAGCCCCAAGATGCCAATTCAGCTTCAGCCTTGGGTGTTAGGGAATTCTCAAACCTGGAAAAAAGTATTTCTCATCTGCCTCCTGAGACTTTAAGGCCAAAGGAAATGCTTCTGGTCTTATTCTGAAGGGGTTGCTTTCAGTGGTGACCCTGAGGATGCCAGGAACCATCAGGGTAAAAGTCAGCCCCTCAATAGGCAGGAGTTGCTTGAGCACCATGTCAGGACACTTTTATATTTAAATCTGTAATGTGTTAAACAATAATTATGCCCTACATTTTTTTTGGCTCTGTAGTTTATAGAGACTGTTATATACCTTATCTTATGTGTGTCCAGTCTTGCCACCCTTCCAAATGAGAGATATAGGGCCCAGACACTGTGTGTGTGTGTATGTGTGTACGTGCGTGCGTGTGTGTGCGTGCACGCACATGCTCGCACATGTGTATATTAAGGCCTGTACACAGCATGGTAGGGAACATAGTACACATGGTGAAGTGAGGGAGGTTGATAAGAACTGAGTAGTTAAAAGTGAATGGTTTGGAATTTTCTGGTCATTCTTTTCCTGCTTCCCCAGGAAAGAGTAAGCAGTTGCTTTCTCCTTCCTTGGAGCTGGACATTCCTTTTGGAATTGGGTGTCCTCTCCTCTGTGAATAGGCCTGTGATTTGTTTGTACCTTCTGCTGTTGGTGTAAGCGGGCGTCTGAACATGTGCAAGTGATTTCCTCCTGGGTAGAAAGCTGAGTCTTGTTCCTCCTCCACTGCTGTCGTCTGGCTGTTGCAGACGGCTGTCAGGGCCTCCCTGCAGCATGCTTGACGCCTGTAGCAGCCAGCACTCAGGAACCTTATTTTGGGGACTAGCAGAGAACTAGCAAGGGGATGAAAATGTTGAGACTGTGTCCCTGAGGGAGACAGGGATGGCCTCTGTGGATGGCCTTTGCTTCAGGGGCACAGTCTGGGGCATATGGCAGGCAGAGGCAAGGGAGGAGGTGGTAGGACGGAGGGGGCAGAGTGCTGCCTGGGACACTGGTGACAACAATTCTGGTTCTCCTCTTCCTACTAATGAATTGTGCAGTTCTCTGATCCTCAGAATTCTTAAACTTTCTTCTTTAGCGATTTTATTGAGGCACACAGAAGTGCAGTAAACTGCTCATATTTAAAGAGTTTAATTTCATAAGAATTGATCACCACCATCACAGTTTAGATCACAGACATTTCCGTCACTCTCTCCCCTAAGTGTCTTTGTGTCCTTTTTCAATACATCCTCTTTCCAGTTGGTATTTTCTAGAATTTTATATAAATTGACACACTGTATTTGTTCCTTTTTGCCTGGCTCCTGCCACTCATCCTGATGATTTTAATTCCTTCCATGTTATTTCATGTATCAATGATTCCTTCCTTTTTTTTTTTAAATTGTTGATTTGCATCCCCCTGTAGGGATTTATCACAATTTGTTTATCCATTCAACTGTTGATGGACTTCCAGTTTTCACTTCTTACAGATGTAGCTATAATGAACGTTCATGTACATCTTTTTTATGTGGATTCTTTTCATTTCTCTTGAGTAAATACCAGGGAATGGAATGGTGGGGCAGTGTGGTAGGTGCATGCTGAACTTTTTAAAGGACTGTCAGATTGTATTTCAGAGTGAAGACACTTTACCTTTCCATCAGCACTGTGTGAGAATTCTGCCGTTCCACTTGCTTGCTAGAACTTCAGATCATCACTCTGTTTAATTTCAGTTTATTCCCCTTCCCCCTGCCCCTGCCCTGTGTATTATTTTATGTATTTAATTGTCTTAGGCATTATGTTTAGGTTTATGATTCATTTGTTAATTTTCACATATGGTATAAGGGAAGAGTTAGCAACCTTTTTGTTTTTTCTAATTGACCCATTTATTGGAAAGCCTTCTTTTATCAATTTTTTTTCTGCTTATTGAAAATACTTTTTCCTGTTGAATTGCTTTGGAACTTATGTGAAAATCAATTGGCAACATGGTCTGTTTCAGGGCTTTTTGCTGTTGCATTGATCTATTTGTCTGTCTATTCACCAGTATCAAATTGTCTTAATTACCAAAGTCTTATTAATAAGTATTCAGTCAAGGAGGGCTAAGTTTTTCCTGTGAAGATCCTTTGTATTTTCATTCACATTTCAGAATCAGCTTGTCAGTTTCTAAAATCCCATTAGGATAATGATTAGAGTTACATTGAAGACAATCTATAAGCAATCATACCATCTGCAAAGAGGGGCAGTTTCATTTTTTTTCTGACCTTTTTTTTTTTGCTCTTTTTTCCCACCCCCATTTTCCCTCTTCTGTCCTTTCTTTCCTCTTACCATGACTCCTATCTCCATACATTGTTGAATAGAAGTGGTGAAATGGCATTCTTGCTTTGTTCCCTGTCTCAGGGGGAGCGATTCAGCTTTTGTAAAGGGGAAACCATTATATATATTGTTGGGGGATTCCCTGTAATTCCTAGATTGTTGAATATTTTAAAATCATGATTGGGTACTGAATTTTGTTAATTGCTATTTTTATGTCGATTAAAATAATATAAATTTTCTCTATTGTTTTGTTGATGTGACATGTTACATTAATTGAGCCTTAAATATTAAAGCAACCTTTATTTGCTGGAATAAACCTTACATGGTCATTATGCATTTTCACTTTTATATATGGATAGGTTTAATTTTCTAAATTTGTTAAGAATTTTTGTATTCTTGAGTTTTTATATTTTTGTAAGATAATTAATATATAATTTAATTGTTTGGTAATATCTTTATCAAGTTTTTATATTACTATTTGCTATCATGAAACAAGCTGATTAGTGATCCTTCTTCCTCTGTTTTCTGACAAAGTTTGTGTGAAGATTGGTGATATATTTTCTTTACTAATTTAAAGAAAGAGGGAAATTTTCTAGGCATGATAGGACTATTCAGACTTTTTCTTTTCTTTTTTGGTCAGTTTTAGAGTTGAAGAAATCTGTCTCTTCATCCAAGTTGTTGCATTTGTTGGCCTAATCTCATTAGTTGTGTTTCCTTATTACCTTTTTAATGTCTGTAGTATCTTTGGTGGTAATTTCATTCCTGATGTTGGTGTTTTGTGTATTTTCTTGATTAGTTCTAAGTTGTCAGCATTGTTGATCTCATCATATAACCTACTTTTAATTCTGTTAATTTTATCTGTTTTCTGTTTTGTTGATTTCTTATTTTTATTGTTTTTTTTTTTTAATTTATTTGCTTGTTTTGTAGCTTAAGATACAACCTTTAGGTCATTGATTTTAGATATTTTCTAATATAAACATTTAAGGCTACAAGTTTTTCTCTAGATACTCCTTTAGCTAAATGCCACCTGTTTAGGTATGAAGCATTTTTATTATCTTTAAGGTCAGGGTTTTTAATGTCCTTTTAAAAACTTGAGATATAATTCACATACATAAAAATCACCATTTAAAAATATTCAGTTCAGGAATTTTTAGTGGCGTCACAGTGTTATTCATGTCTAATTCCAGAACATTTTCAGCATTCATTACATCTCTTGATTTTTGTCTTTGACTGGTAGGTTATTTAGGAAAGTGTTACTCAATTTCCAGGTGTTGGGAGTTTCATACTTACGTCTTTGATTTCTGAGATAGTTTCCTGTAGCCTGGGAGTTCTCTATGTAGGTTTCAGTTTCTTTCCGTGGGACCTGCCCTGTGGTCCAGCATGTCTGCAGTGGTGAACGTTCCACGAGCACTGGAAAGGCTTGTGTGCTCTGTGGGTGTTCGAGTCGTGGTTGTAGCTGTCATTTACATGAAAGCAGTTAATAGTGTTCCGATGACCTATGTTCATTTTGATTTGGGTGGTGGTGGCAGGAAGATCCACTTAAATTGTTGATAAAGATATAGGAGGCTCTCTTACTGTGATTGCAGAATTGTCTGCTTTTCCTTAAATTCTGTCAGTTTTATTTTTCCACATATCTTGAGCTTCTGTTACTAAGTGTATTCACATTTACTATTTTTTTTATATCTTATTTTTTAGTTGTGTTGGACACAATACCTTTTGCTTATTTATTTTTATGTGGTGCTGAGGATTGAACTCAGGGCCCCGTGCTTGCTAGGCGAGCACTCTACCGCTGAGCCACAACCCTTATCTTTTCTGATGAATTGTCTCCTCTGTCATTGTGAAATCCCCCACTTCACCTGTGGTCATACCCTCTGTCTTGCAATGTAGTTTTCCTGATATTCAAATAGTGTCTCTAAACTTATGCTTAGTGTTTGGATAGTACATCTTTTACTGTCTATTTGTGAACTTTGTACCTATTCATGTCTTTAGATTTAAGGTGATTTCTGTAGGCAACGTGTTGTAGGGTCTTGCATTTTTATTCATTCTGCTGTGCTTTCCCCCCTCCCCTGACCAGGGCCTCCTGCCTCCTGGGCAAGTGCTTTACCATGGAGCTACATCCCAGCCCACGCTCTGCTTTTTAGCTGAATTACTTCCACCTTTAACATTTAATATAGTTATTGATGTGGTTGGATTTCAATCTATTATTTCATTATGTATTTTCTTTTTATTGCTTTTGTTTTTAATTTCTCTGTTTCTCATTTCCTGGATCCTTTTTTATTATTTAGATAGTAATATATTTTTATTTAGATATTGTCTTTTAGTTTTTATGTTTTAGTGGTTGTTCTCGGGATTAAAGCATATACAACTTTTTTTTTTTAAAGAGAGAGTGAGAGAGAGTGAGAGAGAATTTTTTTTTTAATATTTATTTTTTAGTTCTCGGCGGACACAACATCTTTGTTGGTATGTGGTGCTGAGGATCGAACCCGGGCCGCCCGCATGCCAGGCGAGCGCRCTACCGCTTGAGCCACATCCCCAGCCCAGCATATACAACTTATCTTCCAGTTTTCTTTGAGTTAATGTTACATTTAATATAAAATTTAGAAATCTTGCAACCATATCAGTCTGTTTTTCCTCCTGGATCTTTATGTTGTGGCCATTTGTATCACATCAGCTCACACTGCAAAGGTAAAGTGTTTTGATTTAAATCATCTTAAGAAATTTAAAGAACTTAAGGGCTAAAGAAGCAGTCTTGAATTTTTTCCCAAATTGTTACCATTTCTGTCTTCCTTTATTCCTGAAGAWCCTTCTTTACCTCTGGAAAATTTCCTTACTGCCTAACATTTCTTGTAGAGCAGGTCCACTGGCTGTGAGTTCTCTTGCTTTTCCTTCATGGCAATCTCTCTTTACCTTCATTGTCACAGGACATGTTTGCTTTATTATTGAATTCTGGGTTGACTGTACTTTAAAGGTGTGTCCCATTGTCTTCTTGTTTCCCTGGGTTCTGATGAGACACCTGCAGTCATTTCAGTTATGTAGTATGTATATAATGCCATTTTCACAGAATATGTTAGTGTTCATATATGCATATACCATGTCATTTTCATATATACATGTATTTTCATGTATGTATATAGTATGTAATTTTTCTCTAGATGCTTTCAAGGTTTTTTCCCCACCTCTTTGTCAGCAGTTTTGTGATGATATATTTAGGAGGGGTTTTCTTTGAGATTGTCCCGTTTTGGGATACTGATCTTGAATCTATAAATTTATATCTTTCACCAAATTTGGGAAAATTTCAGCCATTATTTCTTCAAATAGTTTTTCTGCCTTGTACTTTTCTCCTTTTATTCTGAAACTCCAAATATGTATCTTGAACCTTTTGTTATTGTTTCATAGGTCTTTGGTGCTCCCCCCCCCCCCGTGTTTTCTTTCAAATGGATAATTTCTACTGATCAGTTTTGTCTTCAGATTCACTAATTCTTCTGTTTCTCTTCTCATGTTGAGACTATCTGTGAATTCATTTCAGGTATTATGTTTTTCTATTATAAAATCTCTCTATAGTTCTTTTATTTTTAATAGTTCCTACTTCCATGTGGAGAATCCTTATCTTTCATTTATTTCACATGTGTTTTCTTTTGCCTTATGGAACATGGTTATAAAGGCTATTTTAAAACCCCTACATGGATCATCTTGGATTTGCACTTGTTGATTATCTTTACCCTTGAGAATTAGACTCCTTTTATGGATATGTTTGAACAGTGTATGTGAGTAATTTTGATTTGTATTCTGGACATGCAAATGAAATGCATGAAATTAAATTTTCTGGAGGATGTTGGTATTTTGGTTTTAGTGTACAGTCAGGCAGTTTAGATTCTATCTTCTTTCTGTAGGTGGTAGCTCTTACGTCAGTTCAGTCTGCTAAGCCTTTGCTATGCTAGTTTGGTCTGTTTTAGGCATGTGTAGTTTGGGGGTTAGGCTGAGACTTATGTAAGTTCATACACAGAAGTAAGGGATTTACTCTTTTGACACTCTGCCCTCTGGGATTCCATACACACTCTCTCCAGCTTGTAGGGGCTCTTTTCCTAGTTCCTTTGACATAAAAAGTTTCTTATCAGCTTTTGAGCTCTGACTAGAAATGAGGTGCTCCACAACTGGGGCTTTCCCTTGGGTCAAAGCTGTATCAGGATACCCCTAAGTATGTGGGTAGCTTTTCCAGGTTTTAAATCTGTTCACAAGATGCCTGCTTTTGTTGACTTTTCAGTATCCTCTGGTGGCTGTTTTTTTGTTTTTTCAAGTTTAACCCAGAATTTTTAGTTGTAATTGCTAGGAAGGATGAGCTATACACCATCGTAGTAGAACTGGAAATCTAGTTGGTTGATTTTATTCTTTCAGTGCTAGGAATGGAACGTAGGGCCTTAGGCATGCTAGGCAAGCATCCTATCAATGAGCTATGCCCTGTAGCCCCAGCTGGTTAATTTTTAATCACTGATTAATGAGAGTCAGAGATTTGGGTTTGAGTTTTACCTCTGCTATTTGTGGTCAACTTTGTTTCTTTGTTTGGGAAAAAATTGGAATCTGAGAACATGGCTCTGCCTGTGCCAGGATTGAATGGAGTAAATAAGATGATGGATGTGGATGTATTCTGTAAACTGAAAAGTTGTATTCAGATGGTTGACATTGCTGTGTGTGTATAGGCTCACATGTGCATGGTCTCTGCATGGTTACCTGCACACAGGTGGCCTCACCCCTGGTTTCTCTTCTCTAGGCGCTTCCTGGACCTCACTACTACACCTGGGGAGATCATGGCGGCATCATCATGGCCATCGCCCAGGGCATGGAAACCAATGAGCTGAAGTAAGTGTCTCTGACTAAGCCTTTTCTTGTAGCAATACATTGTTCAAGAAATTCATATCTGTAATCGTAGGTGGATTATTTCTTTATAGCACTAGGTTGTTGGCAGCACAGTTTGAGGCCTCTGGAAATTAAACTTTCCATATCTATAAAGCTGGCATAGTAACCCACTCTTTCTTCTCATAGGATTGTTGTGAGAAACAAGGGAAATAATTTATTGGTTTAAAAAACATAACTACATAAATATAAAGAATGTATAATGACTAAAATGGGACTCTTTAACTTGTCTTTGCTCTGCATAAGTGTGACACACAAAGATTTGCTCATATGATGACTAATAATATATAATAACAATAAATAGTAATACATGAATAATAACTGCAGAATGCATCCACCATTGTAGCCAGTTAACTTTGATGGTGGTACATTTGGTGTCGGGGGTTTTCATACATAGAAGCTGAAGGGATGTGAGAGCCTAACTGCTTTATTTACAGATGAGGAAAATGAGGCTCGTCAAGATGAAGTCACTTGCCCAAGGTCTTCCCATTTGTTAAACACTAAGGTCTTCAGATTATGTCCTGTACTGTCTGTAATATATTGTTCTGAAAAGAGTGATGTCAAGGGTTTATAATTTCTGTTCTCTTAAGCCCTGATTTTATGAGCACCAGCTCTTTGATTAATTTCTTGGAGTTATTGAACAATTGATGTTTGGTCAGGGCAGGCTGGCCTTCACTTCTCCTTGTTTTTGAGCTGAAGCTGTTGGCTAAATTACTAAGGGAAGTGGAGAGGCTTCAGTAATCATCTTGTTTAGAACAAGGAAGAAAGCTTTCTTTTCCTCAGCTCCTTTTAGAATCAGAGCCAGCAGCAAAAGAGAGGTGGGTGGTTTGAAATGAGAGATCTTAGCAGCTGGTTGTTCGCCTGTGGTTAATTGGACATGTGCTGAGCAGCCTGGCCTCCAGGAAGCAGAGAGAAGCAAAGTGCTGGTGTTGGCTTTCCACCTGGCTGTCCTTGTTCTGTGTGGCACTGGTCAGCTGTCTCTTTGCAGCCAAGAGTCACAGGAGGCCCTGTTTGCACACAACAGTGCATTCATGTTCAGATTGGTGTTTGCTCAGACGATGATAGTCACAAAGCGCAGTGCTTCCCACRTTTGCGCTGACATTTGTGTATCTATTAATTCATACCTCACACGTTTAGCAAGCACTTCTTGTGCCAGGTGCTGTGTATCTGAAGAGGAAAGGGATGTTGTCCCCCACCTTCAAGCGTTCCACCCTAGTTGTGAGAAAGACTCAGAAACAATTGTAGTGTTTAGTACACCACTATTGTGTGGAAGTCACGCAGGGACAGAGCATGGCTTCCTCGGAATACATTTTATTCTTTGTATGGCTTTCAGATTTTAGAGTCCATTCTCGATTTCCTTGTTGAACTTCTCCACAGATTACATTTGCATTCCAAGCTGGCTCCTCTGAAGGAGCAAGTGTGATTCTAGTCCTCTTACACCATCTGTCGGCGCATATGTGCTCCGGGATTGCAGCGTCATTCCACACTAGCTGGAGCAAAACACACCGGGAAAACAAACCTGCTGCCAGAACATCCTAACGCCCTCCCCAGGCATTTCTTAATGACTTCAGGGTTGTAGACTTTGGGGGTTATGGACAGAATAGTCTTCCTCTATTTGTAGGTCATTTAGAGGTGTCTGTAATGCATAGTTCAAATAAGGCATTTGCAAATATGGAAAAAATGGACAGGCCTCCTCTTGACAGGTACATGTGTCCTAACTATCAGCCAGAACTTGGCCCAAATCCTTGTAGCCACCTGGTCTTTTACTCACTGTGTTGCTTCCAGAGGTATTTGGCCTGTCCTCCTGCTGCTCTGGAGAGAATTAATATTGAAGTTAGTTCATGTCCTTAAACCGCAGTGGTGATTCAGTGCAATACCCAGGCATGAGTGAGGCCATTTCTGACTAAACTGGATATCTATTGCTGGTCTAGGGCTTCATCTCCCTCTAAGTCCGTTCTCCTCACCATGGCGATCTCTCTGTCCTTTGAACCTCATAGCCTTTATTGGCCATCCCATTAATTTAGCATTGATCACATTCTGGCTCCTTTTTTTAATTACCTTTTCATTAAATGCCTGAATTCTTCAGCTCATTACTAAGGCCTTTATATAGACAAGTATTTTTATTCTATACAAGTGCCTGCTGAGGCACTTAGCAAATATTTGATTGATCAATAAGTAGGTCAAGCATAYTCTGTTTTCCAAGCTCGGTTATTTTTTGTTTTGCTGATTTATGACACTGAAAGGAATTGGGTAGGGTGCCATTTGCACAGCTCCAAGGGAGACCAGTGCTGTTGTGTTCTATGTAAATGTCAGCCTCTGAGCACAATGGGGACTCCCCAGAAGTGAGCAATATGGCGGTACTCAACAGACTTCAGAGATGATCCAGTCTACCTTCCTCAGTGTCCACATGAAGGAATAATGTGATTTGCCAGGAGTCAATACCCACACTGGAGCATAAGAATATTTCTGTGGGAAATTAATTCAGTTACACAAATAATTTTGGAAGATCTATGATGAACCAGATGTTGTGCTAGACATTAAGGACACAGAGGTGAGTGTGGTATGGCTTGGGTGAGGGTGGTAGCCCAGTGAGGTTCCATGAGAAAGAGGGGCCCAGGAAGAGGACCTTATTTTGAAGGGATGCTTTCTGACCTGATACCCCTTTTATGAAGGAAAGCCAAGCAGAGTAGCAGCTGGCATTCTAATTAGAGGTAGTGGGGACAGGTAGGAATAGTACTTAAGAGTTGGATCCCCCACCCCCCTGGTGGTTGTTCATTTAAATTATTCATGTCTTTCTCTCCCTGATTAGCACAGATAACTAAGAGTTGACGGTTAATTGTTTCAGCATCTGCCTTGATTCTCTGCTGAGACTGTTACCTTTGTTATTGTTAATTGAAATTGAGAGTAAGAAGTGGAACACTTTGTTTTGTTGTTGTGTCTACATGTCTGAAATGATCGAATGAGAGCCTGTGCTGGGGATTCACTTATGCATTCATTCAGCATGCTGCTAGCAGGAACCTGCTTGGGGGATGCATGGGAGCAGTTTCATGTATAATCAGTTTTCTTCAGGCTGTTGTGTTTTGCATCTTGACCAAAAAAAAAAAAAAAAAAAAAATCCAAACACATTTGTTGGCTTGATCAGGAAAGATGAGATCAGTTTCCGCTTCTTCTTGGCAGTTTGCCTGTCAGCATGGTGATATTATTGATAGTTAATAATATTTTGGATTAACCCCAAAGCATCTTTTATCTGAGGAGGTTTCCAACGTAGGGCTTCCCTCTGGGAATCCTGAACAGCCCCTGCAAAGAGAACACACAGCAGAGCAGCTGTCTTTTCTGGACCTGAGTTCTGACCACAGCCCCACAGGATGTAGGAGGCAGCAGTTTACCTCTTATCTTGGTTCAGCCCTAACACTAGAAGTGACACTATGGGGCAGTTGCAGAGCCAGCCTCCCATTCAATCCCCTTGTGGCTTCCTCTGCCCCTTAAGGTGGAGAGGAGCAGGTGTCTTTATCACCTTTTAACTGTTAAGAAACTAAGAGATGGGGTTAAAAAAAATTGAAGATTCAGTGCAGTTTATTTTATTTGCTTTAACAAGCCTGAATTATTGCCCCTTCCATCTGATAGAAAAGGTGCCAGGTGCAGGATAGGAAAGTGAGGGGAGAGGTCTTATTCCTGATGAATCGTAGTCTAGTAGAAAACCCTCACAGGTCCAGGTCATTTAAATATAGTGGGGTATGAGATGGAGGTGAACACAGGGCGCAGTGGGAGCCACAATGAGGGCCTTATCCTGTATTTCTCAGAAGAGATGGAACTTGAGCTAAAGCTAGAGGATAAAAAGCAAGGTCGGATTGCCATCCAGGGTTAGAAAGAGCTTGAGCTTGAGTTGGTGTGGGATGGCAGCTCTCCTGTGGTAAGAGTGCAGATTGGGAGCTGGCGAGGGGTGAGGAACAGGGCTTGAAGTAGGGGCTAGGGCCTGGGAATCTTACCTGKGCCTTACTGAAGAGATCAAGCTTCCCCTTTGAGGGGAATGCATGGCTAGATCTACATTGTAGATATGTGGCTCTGGCAGAATGAGGAGGATAAACTCAAAAAGGAGCACGGCTGGGAGGTGAGAGMCGATGCTGGGGTAGGTGTGAGGATAAAGTCTGCGGGATAGGCCTTCTGACTAGCAGGGGTGACAGTCTAGGGAGCTCCCACTGAAATAAAGCAGAGGTGAAGGAGTGGGCTTCAGGGTRCATAAAGAAGGCAGATTTAGGCAAGTTGGATCTCATGGGCTGCAGCAGGTCACAGGGGAGATCAGTTTCCACTTCTTCTTGGCAGTTTGCCTGTCAGCATGGTGATATTAATGATAGTTAATAATATTTTGGATTAACCAGGTCCAGGGACCTGGACCTATTATGTCATCTGGTTCCACTACCTTCCACTACCCATGACAGGATCATCCAGTCTTTGCTCGAACAATCCTATCAATGGGGATATTTGCCAGATCAAAAGCTTCCACTTCACTTAGTAACACTTTGTTGTTCATTCATTTGTTCATTCATTTATTCATTCACCCATTTATTTCATTCATTCGTTTATGAGTGAAAGTTCTCTGGTAATAGCCCAAATTCTCTGCATTCCAACTTTTAACCACTGTGCTTATTGTTCTGCTCCCCCAAGGCACACAACGGATATTTCCTCTCATCCAAAAGCCTTTCAGACATTTGAGGACCCCGTGCATGTCCTCCCAAGCACCTGCCTTCTATGGAAACCATCCCAGTTCCTTTCCCTGTATGCTGCAGGTTCCTGAGTCCCACCTTCTGGGTTCTGCTATAGATCTGTCTCACAATGTCAATGCCTTAAAATATGGCTAGTCTGACCCCCATAGCCTGAAACAAGTGGAAAACATTGGGCTTAATATCTGTACGGTTGGGACACTATTTCTTTTTTTTTTTTTGCATAAT